AGAAGACCCAGGAGTCCTAGGCACAGCCTTCCTCATCTTGGTCTCTGTAGACCCCTCGCCTACCAAGGAACTACATCCACTGAAGCAGAGGCCAACTCCTGAGCTAGGACAAAGGAACACGCAGATGAGCCTAGAACATCTTGTGCCAGCAAGTCAGCGATGCTCCCAGAATGACTGGGAGTGTGCCAGAGATATACAGACGCCAACCTGGACCAGTTCCCACTGTCGCCTCAGACAATGTGAGCACCGAGGTAAATAATGGTTGTAGCAGATTAGAATAAAACAGGAAACATAACCCATGCTGGGTGGGAAGACAGAAAGAAGTGGGGAGAGGAGAGAGGGAGAGAGGAGAGGGGGAGGGAGAGGCGAAATCAATATTTACCTCTTCTCAAAGCCCTCCTTAAAACCTAGGTTCCCCAATAACCAAGTAGTTAAACTCCAACATCCCCAGTCAACAGGCAAGGGTGAGCCTTGGGCCACCTGCTGTGTAGCAGGTACACAGCCTGAGTCTAATCCTGAGGCATCAGGCAAACCCAAATCCAGGGAGCCTACACCCTGGCCTAGAGACCAATGAAAGAAGGTCTGGAAGAGGCTTAGGGCAGAGAGATGAAGCTGAAGATCCCAGGTCACCTCTGCCAGAAAGGACTTAAAAAGGACACCTGGGTGGCTTGCCTGTAGTCACTGCCTCTGATACAGACAGCTGTGCTGTAGTGACAGCATGCACATTTGTTGGAATGCACTGGACGTTAGGGGCATGAGTACCCTCAGAGGTCCACAAGGAAGTGGTATGAACTACGCAATGGCCAGGAGTCAGAGCCATTCTCAGAATGGAAAAGTGCCAGGCTTGAGGCTGGAAAGATGGCTCACTGGTTAAGCCACACTTGCTGTTTTTCCAGAGGACCCGAGTTTGGTTCCCAGCACCCACATCATCAGGCAACTCAAAATTGGCTGTATGTAACTCCAGCTCCAAGGGACTGAATACTCTCTTTTGATCTCCAGGACATCTGTACTCTTGCACACACACACACACACACACACACACAAAACCATGAATAAATCTTTTTTAGTCTGCCTGGCTTCCTTGAGAATCAGCTTTCCCTTCTCTTCTTCCCCAAACCCCTATGTCTTGAGTCTCACCCTCTCCAACAGAATCTCCACTCATACACTCAAGGAACTGGGTATCTGTCCAACGGCTTCTTTCTCAATCAGAAAACATTTCATCCATACCCACTGGCTGCCCTGGCTTGCCGAGACTTCATGGGAACACCGGCCAGCCTGCTCCCCTCCTGCTCCTCCCACCCCTGTGACATGGAGCCAGGCAGAGGAATTATTCCTTGAAGAAAAGTAAAAGGGAAGAATGTCGCTCTGCACGGGAGGCCAGGCTGAAGGGAGTCAGCAAGGATGCAGCCCTGCCTGGAGAGGATTACATCCTTGAGGACCCAAGACCACACTCGGTGGCAACACCCTTCATGATCTAAATCCCCAGGACCTGAGTCCAGGTGAGCAGGTGGCAAGGGGTTTTCGTGGGAAGACAGAGTGTGGAAAGTACAACACTAGAGACATGCACCTGAGCAGAGTTAGCCCAGAACAAGGCTCAGGACAGGAAAGGGCAGTCAAGGAAGATTCCTGGAAGAGGAAGAGGCCCCTAAACCAGCTGAGGTAAAGAACCAAGCTGGAGCTGGGCAGTGGTGGCACATATTTTTAATCCCACTTGGCAGGCAGAGGCAGGCAAATCTCTGAGTTCTAGGTCAACCTGATCTACAGAGCAAATTACAGGACAGCCATGGCTACACAGAGAAACCCTGTCTCAAACAAACAAACAAAAAGAACCAGAACCAGGCTGGAAGGAGGTGAGTAAGTAAACTTGTGATGGGCACAAAAGGAAAAACACAGGGAAGAGACAAACAGTACCAGGTGGGAGGGTCAGGGGAAAGGGGGGAGCATGGAGGACATGGAGGTCCCTTGGAGGTAAGCCAAGGTATTCAGAGATCTATGCTGGGTCCCTGCAGCAGACAGACCATCGATGTCCTAAAGGGAGAAGGCCATCAGAGTGCTACAAACATGTCAGAGGTAGGTGAAAGAGGCCCCTCTTTAAGAGGCCTCCCCAGAGTAAACATGTGGATTGTCACAGTTGACACAGGCACCCTGGGGAACTCACACTGTGGCCACTTTGACTCCACTAGGTCCCTTCCAGGGATCAATAACTAGTGTCCATACCTAATTAGCTTAATTAAGCCCAAAGTGGCTTCCAGGCATTGGAGTAAAACAAAGTACATCCTGTTCACCCAAGAGTTCACAACAAAGCAGGCAGGCAGTGTCTCTCCAGGACCACTGGCACACAAAAGATGCTTAATAAATGCCTATTGCCAGGTCTGCGTGCTGGTATATTCCCTTCATCTCAGCACTTGGGAGGTAGAGGCAGGCAGGTGTCTGGGAGTTCCAGGTCAGTCTAATCTACCAGTCCATGTTACGGTCAGACCCTGTCTCAAAATAAAATAAATAAATAAAGCCATTATGCTCCCCTAGATCCACCAGTCCAGCTGAGATAAACTCAAAGTGAGATGGGAACTCTGAGTCTTGAAGATTTACCAGGAAGCCATGTGGCCTTCAAGGAATGGGGGACATCAGAGACCAATGATCTGGACATGACAAGCAGAGAGAAAGGAAATGCACTCTCGGACCTTGCCAAATGACCCAGCTGACTCCCCCATAGAGGATCCAGATGTCCAGGGAAACCAGGCATGCTCCTACTATCACCCCAGAGAGCCCACAGGTCCCAGAGAAAGCCCAGAGAAGTCAGCGAGGCTGCAGGTCAGCTGAGGGGAGTCTTGAAATCACCCTTTCTTTAGGAAGATATGCATACACAAGCTAGTTAGTTATGTCACGTACCATCTGGGTGACTTGGGCACATCTGTGGACCTCTCTGAGCTTTCACTATTATCTACAAATCAGAGGTGGTACACCACTCTACAGATTGCGTCTAGACCAAGGCAGCCCCAGAAAGGGCAGCTGTGATTCCTTCTGTGCTCCAGCAACCACAAACCGAGATAACATCTTCTTCCCCGCATATCAGAAATGTGAGCTTCCCTGTAGCAAAGAGCAAGCACCCAGAGAGAAGTCTCGCCCCAGCCCCTGTACAGCCAGCCCTGGCAACGACTGTTGTTTCTTTCCTTATGAATATACACACAGGGCCATGAAGCTAAACTTGGCCAGATACCGTGAAGGTTCAGAGAGCACCTGCAATGTGGAGACCGTGGGACAGACCAGCCTACACAAAATGACAAGCGAGAAGACAAGACCAACCCTCTGAGCTGGTATCTAGTCGCCAACAATTGATGTCGACTAGAAATTTCCAACACAGGGACTGTGTACCCTGAGGCCTGCACCAGCCAGCACCCTTCATCCCATCCAGCCCAAATCACAGGAACCAGCCACTCCCCAATCAGGCACAGCCCCTCCCAATCTCCCTGCCAATCAGCCTCACTCTCTTAACCCCACCCCCACCCCCGGTCAGGCTCGACCCTACAGACCGGTGCAGAACCTGTCAGAAGCAAGCCAGCCTTAGCCTCCAGCAGTTCAGGGTCAGCCCAAGATCCAGCTGTGCGCAGGAGGAGAGGGGAGTCAAGATCCAGCTGTGTGCAGGAGTTGCCCCCTCCCTTTCCTTTCTCGAGTCGTGAAAGAGGTTAAGAACTCCGCAGTCTCCCCGTCATAACGTGGAAGGTAGAGGAACGACACACACACATCGAGATCTCTTTAAAGACCTCTCACCCTTGGAGCGTGCCATTTGGGCACATTGTCACGCTGACCTTTCGGGACTCTAGCTGCAACCGTCCGTGGCTCTCTGGGCTGCTGGGGTATTACTAATAGTAGAAGAACCACCCCCTCTCTTTCCCTTCTGGGGCTCTCCTTTGTCAAACGGGAAATAGCTGGCCCCATCTCTTTGGAAAGGCAGGCACAGCCAAAGGGCAGAGGCTTTAAGGGGGAGGGGTGGAACCCGCCAGAATATTGGGATCAGTGACTCTCACAGACTCCCACCCCGCCCCCAGACACCGCGGTTCCCGAAGTCCGGGTAGAGAATACCCGGCGTCCACTTGGAGTTGCGAAGTGGGCGGGTCGCACCTGGACAGCACTGGCTGAACCAGAGCTGTCTTGCTCTTCCGTCCGCCTGCCAGGATCCCTTTAACGAGCGATCGGGCGGGGGATCCGGGACCCCCGGAAGGCAGGCCACATGCCTCGAATCTCCTTAACTCTGGGTCAAGTTTCTTTCAAGGAGCCAAGAAAAGCAGCTCCAGTCAGCGGAGTGGACGTGTTCCTGACTTGCCCTGCCCTGCCCTGCGGCCACACGCGTGTCTCGGCCTCCACAAAGGCCACACTAGAGCGACGGCCGAAGTGGGGGGCGGTGAGGAGACGAAGGGGACTCCCTCCCAGAGGCCCTCCAGGAAGGCCCCGAGGCAATTCGCTCCGGGCTGGGGTCCCGGAGGAGGCGCAGTCCAGAGAGGGGGCGGCGCCCGGCCCTCCCGCTCCCTTCGGCCCGCGCACCCCGCCCGGCCCGGCCCCTTCGCCGCGCCCTGGGCCAGCGCAGCCACCGCTCCAGCTCGTCCTCCATTGGCTCCGGCCGCTAGGCGCGCAGCCCGAGGACGCGGCCCCAGCGTGGCATTCACCGGGTTCGAAGGGACACTCGGGGACCCGGGCCTTAGAGCGAGACTGCAGTGCTGGGCGCCACGCCGAGACTGGAGTCATTCTCCACGAGGCAGAGCAGACCCGGGAGCCGGCGCACACTAACGGTCCCCGTGGCGGTAGTGGCGTGCCCTAGGCTTGGGAGACTTTGGCCAACTTCGCGCCTTCGCCGCTCGCTAGAGCGGGAAGCGGAGACAGGGACGAGCCCCCCTCTGCACTGGCCCTTGAACCAGTCGCTCGGACCAGGGCGCCAGGGCCTCTCGCGGCCGCCACCTCGGCGCTCCAGTCAGTTTGCCCCGCAGCTCACACGCCCGGACCCTCACCTGGGACATCTGCGGCCTGAAATTGATGTCCTTCAGATCGATGGAGCCGGGGGAGAGGTTGTGCAGCAGCTGGCACAGCAGGACGCCGTCGCGCAGCGCCTGCGCCAGGTCGAAGACCACCGCCGAGGGCCACACGACACGGTGGTTGGGCGGCAGGACCTTGCAGTCGATGAGCCAGCGGCCGCATTGCCGCCACTGCTCCATGGCGCCTGCGGCGCCCGTGCGCTCGCCGCCGCGGCCGCTGGACCAGCTCTCTCAGGGCAGCGCTCTGGCTAAAGTGCGGTGACCGCGGGGCATCCCGCCCGCCCGCGCGGGGCTAGGCGGCCGGGGCGGGGCTTCGCGCAGGCCGCCCCGGGTCCCCGCTGCGCGGCCGCGCGGCCCTCCTCTTCCTCCTCCTCCTCCTCGGGCTACTAGCGGGCAGTCGCTCCCGCCCACGTGCGGCCACCAGGCGTTCGCGGGGCAGCGCGCCGGGTACCCCCTTCACACACACAAGTCCGCTTGGGCTCCGGTCCGGGCTCCACGCCTCCTGCTGCTGCAGCGCTCCTCGATCCGCCCCTCTGGGCGCCGCATTCTGTGCTCGGGGTGCCCCACACCGGCCACCGCTCCTGCCCCGCCCGAGACAAAGGCGCAGCGGGTCGCTCGCTCCGTGCGTCCGGCGCCTGGACTGCCGGCGCCGCCGTCGCTTTGTTCGCCCGGCCCGCGGGCTCTGCGATCCTCGCGGGGCGCTGGGACTCTGAGGCTCAGCAGCTCCCGGGCGCTGGGGATGCAGGGGGCGCGGCCACGGCCGGGCGGGGCCGGGGGCGGAACTGGCATCCTCGCCGGCACCTCCCACGCGACCCAAGCACCGCCTCCAACCCGCCCTCCCACTTCCTGTCCCGGGGCCGCCAGCGAAAGTTGGGGAGGGCGGGGCTGTAGCGCAGGCTCTGGGCTGGCGACTTTCCGTTAGGTGCACGTGGACCCAGGCCGGCAGTCTCTCCTGCAGAGTGAGGAGGTTTCTGTACCTCGTTAGAGACTAAAAGGTGACCCCTGTAGCGCGCCGCCCTTGTATGGACCTCTGCAAAGACAGACCAGGGAACGCTCATCCAGCTGGGCTACACAATCACGCCCCTATGGCCCCATCAATCTGGTTAATGAGCTCAAGTCTTCCAGAGTACGCTTCCAGTCTAATGTCCTTGTCAGGATCCGCAGGACATCCCCTCTTCCGAAGAGGGAAAGAGGAAAAAAATCCTTCACTTGCGGTCACGAGCACCCCCTCCCTAGATTCCCTGGTAAGAGGTGCTGGTAGGATCGACAGTATGGTGTCCTGAGGACATCGTGACAGTGGGAGAGACTTCAAAGCATCAATAACTGATTTTGCAATTGGAATTACTTTGCTGCGGACTCATCTATCAGGACCCGTGAGTTCTTGGTAAAGGGAACACCACAAAGCCCAGCCTTCTCGGAAACTGGTGTCCTGGAAGGGAGCTGGGAGAAAGGGGAGTGGCCAGCTCACCAGAGCCTCCTGATTTGATCTTCTGTGGGCTGGTCATCATTATGTCGGTCGCTGCGTCTCCCTCAGTTTACCTAGCCCAGGGCAGGATGGCAGATCCCACCTCGATGCACACACCAAGCCTGTCACCTGCATCCAGGAGCGTCATCTCTGGAATGGCCTCTGCAGGAAGTCAGTTCATCCCTTCCCCACCTAAAGAGGAAGCTTGAAACCTCATACTAGGGGTCAAGAGAGGCGCCAGAGTCAGGTTGAATAACTGGCTAGCTCCTGCCTAGGTACCACTTCATCTCTGAATAGCCTCAGAGAAAGGACCTGCTGCAGGGAGGTAGGGAGAGGATTAAATCATCCAAAGCACAGGGCCACAGGCAGACCCTCCAGCATCTCCCTAAAAGTCATTCAGTACCCTTCAACACATGGGGGTGGGGTATGAAAGCAGAGCACCTCGCTAATCCTGGTCCCTTCATGCCTGGGCGTCTGTACCCAGGGAGCTCCTTTACAGGAAAGAGATCTTTACCCTCCCTGACCTCAACCTTCCCGCTTCATCAGGAAACTCACCATGACCAGACTAGGTCTGGGACAGACTACTCTGAGAGTCAGTCAGACGTTCATCTGCCGCCCCCTGGTGGTCTTAAGAGCAGTAGCAGCTGACCGTCCATAGGCTCCCGGAAAGCGGGCTGCCTTTGAGGGGCTGTAGTGCAGAGCCTTAGCCTGTCAGTCTCGCAAGTAAAGAGATCTAGGACTCCTGGCACAAGTGGTCCTGCACCAATCTTGTGCCTCTATGGTACCCAATTCCTTGTCTGGATATTGGGGGTGTTCACTTGTCCTGTGTATTTTTTTTTTTTTTTGGTTTTTCGAGACAAGGTTTCTCTGTGGTTTTGGAGCCTGTCCTGGAACTAGCTCTTGTAGACCAGGCTGGTCTCGAACTCACAGAGATCCGCCTGCCTCTGCCTCCCTAGTGCTGGGATTAAAGGCGTGCGCCACCACCGCCCGGCTTTGTCCTGTGTATTTGATGGAGACCTTGGGAAGCTCTACAGGGAAATAAGAGAAGGGATCAATGACGGAAAGCTGGGTGGAAAGTGTTCCAGATGTCTGTTGTGCTGTGTAGGTCAGACTGCATGGGCTCAAAACAACTTGCAGAGTGCTGATAAAGGGGATAATGTTCCTCCGTGTTCTACCTCACCCACTCTCCCAGCCCCAGGACTGTTTGCCAGGACTCTCCTCCGAACATGTCCCGGAAACAAGAGAACCTCCCCGGCTTTGGAGATGAGCTCTGTGAAAGCCACTTCTGCTGAATTCCAGTGACCAGTTCTGAGGTGATCTGAGCAGATGAAACCCTGAGGGGCTGCCAACCCTAGCCACATACCCAGGATGCAGGAGGAGGGCCATGGACTGAGCATGCGAGAGGTTGCAGAGAGGCGCCTGGAAGGGTTCAGCAAAGCTTCTGGAAGTTGACCGTCCTGAAAACCATGCTTTGGAGGCTGGGGGCTGACAGGAAGGCACAGGTGCCGGAAGCTAAGGCAAGGATCAACAGAGCCTGGGCCCAGAGTCCCTTCTAAATCACAAGGGAACAGAGTATCTCTTGTACTCCCAGGCATTGGCTGGTCGACGGTAGCAGCATCTCTGATGGACTCTGGTGTGAATTTTCTGCGCATCCTACCTGCCTGCAAGTTCAAGAACCCACATTCAGATTCTGAGCACGCCTAGCTCTGCCGCCACCAGAGTTCAGGTTCCTCCCTCGAGTTCTTCAACAGCCTGTTTCTGCCTTGCCCTTCAGTCTGCTCTTCATAGTCAGCAAAGATCTAGCTAAATCTAGATGCAACCCTGCCACTCTGCCACCTCAAAGCCATTTTGTGGAACTCAGTTCCTGCTCAGACGTGCAGATCTGTGAAAGAACACCATTTGGCATGCATGAGGCCCCAGGCTCCAATGCCAGCCCTTAAAGAAGTGGTTCTCAACCTTGGGTCATGACCCCTTTGGGGGAGGTCAAATGACCCTTTTACAAGGGTCTCCTAAAACTATGAGAAAACACAGATATTTACATTACAATTCATAACAGCAAAATTAGTTATGTAGTAGCAACAAAAATAATTTTATGGCTGGAGTCAGCACAACATGAGGAACTGTATTAAAGAGTAGTAGCATTAGGAAGGTTGGGAACCACTGTCTTAAAGGAAATGAAAAAAGGAAAAAAAATGACAGATTCTCCCCCAAGCGTTTAAAAACCCCCTTTGGCACAGCTTCCTTCCCTGGCTGTGGATTTTGTGCCCCTCCTAGTTCTTTGCACTTGCCGTTTCTCTGCCTAGAATTCTTCCATCAGAGAGGGACGTGACCAAGGTTCTGACTAACAGAGGAGGGATTTGAACCAGGATCTCAACATGGAGTCTGTTTTCTCCAGTGCTCCCAACAGAGCTGTTTGCATTTACTTTCTAGGCTGACCTTAAGGCAAAGAGGTGTCAACACAAGAGAAATTATGGAACTCGATCTGTCTCTGCCCTCCCAGGCTTCTGCAGAGGGTGCCCCCACCACTGGGCAGTCGCTCACTAGGCAGTCGCAGGGCTGGTGTTCATCCAGACTACAAGTACCTCTAAGCATCCAGTGCTCTGTATGGCAGCTCCCTCTGTGGAAGCTTCTACAGACATTAGAACATTCAAAAAACTGAGGACCGAGCCGGGCAATGATGGCACACACCTTTAATCCCAGCACTCAGGAGGCAGAGGCAGAGGCAGGCAGATCTCTGTGAGTTTGAGGCCAGATTGATCTACAGAGCAAGTTCCAGGACTGGCTTCATAGCTACTGAGAAACTGTGTCTTGAAAAGAAAAAAGAAAAAAAGAAAAACTGAGGACCCCCACAGCCAGACCGGCCATTTTGATTATCAGTCCCTGCTTCCCCAACACCCAGACATATTGTATGGTCTCTATATTTTCATCAGAAAGACTACCTTCAGCTGGAAGGTGATGGCACACACATGCCTTTAATCCAGCACTTGGGAGTTTGAGGCCAGCCTAGTTTACAAAGCAAGTTCCAGAAGGGCCAAGATTGGAGAAACCCTGTCCCGGGGGGCTCTTCCTTACAAGGACATCAAAGGGCTCTCCCTAACAAAGACAACCATGTCTCTCATTCAAAGGAATACCAGCACTGGCCTCCTGTTTCTCTACCACCCAGCCTTCCATTCGCTTCCCACCAGCCCTGAACCTCTTTTTTTTTTTTTTTAATTATTTATTTATTATGTATACAGTGTTCTGTCTGCATGTATGCCTGCAGGCCAGAAGAGGGCGCCAGATCTCATTACAGGTGATGGTGAGTCATCATGTGGTTGCTGGGAATTGAACTCAGAACCTCTGGAAGAGCAGTCAGTACTCTTAACCATTGAGCCATCTCTCCAGCCCCCCTGAACCTCTTTTTACATCTCCTTACTGGTCCTTGAATTCATCTACCCCGTCCTCTGTCCAGTCACCCTTTAATCCACTTAGCCCTTCCCTTCCTCCACGCGGCCCTCCCATGTTCCTCTGCCCATCACTCTTAGAAGGCTGAAGCCAGCCTCCCAACTGTCCATCATTATCAGCCGCACTCTATCCACCCACCTATACCTGCATCTATCCACCCATCCCACCCATACCCCTCCAACGAGACAATACTGACTGAGTACCGGCTTTGTTCCTAGAGAAAGGGAAATGAATGTTTTGACCGGGTGAGCCATTATTCTCGCTCCAACCCACAGGAACACACATTTTGCAAATTCCATTTGGAGCTCCATCAGGCAAATTCAGCTGTCACAATTTCCCAGGAAATTATAGGTGTAGAAAAAGACCATCTGGCCAGCCATGGCGACAGAGCATGGAGCACGCCTTGCTGGATGGTGGGTGTGGGCCCTCTGCATTTCCTTTGAAAAGGCAAAATGTAGACTGTTACTGTTAGTTGCTTCAACTTCAAAATTAAGCCAAACGCCACAGTCTAGAGACTAAGCCCTACACTAGATCTCGGAAATCTTGCTGTAACACAGCCAAAGCTTGGGCACCTGCCAGTGACTATACAAAACATAAAGACAGTCCCTTCCCTCCCCCACCTCAACCCCACCCCCGCCCAGGCCTGTCTTGAGGCTGCAGCAGCATCTGGGAAGACCCTGTGTTCAGGGCAGGTGAGCACAGCCTTCAGAGAGTACAGAGTCCAGGACATAGGTCAGCTGTCCTTATGAGACTGAGAGGCAGCACTGGGGGAGGGGACTCTGCTTTTCCAAGAGCCTTCATCACAGAGCCAC